ACCGAGTCAACTAATTACTATAAGTCTCAGCTTCCTCATCTGTAAAGTGGGTAGTCTTCTCCTCCTGTGTTAGGACTACATTCCCAAACAATAAACTGGAGATTCTTCCTAGAGAATCCTTCTGATCTCATTATTGTTAACAAGGGAATTTATGTTAAATTCATGCAAATTATGTATTCAACTCCAAAATTGTTTGTTTTAAGCAAAACCTGGAGCCTTCTGAGAACTTGGAGTTTGTGCAGGGTGCTAGTTTGCTCTGTCAGCCCCTCTCCCCAGGATGCCTCTTCACTCTATTCTACTGGTAAGGGTTCAGCCAAATAGGTCTCATTTATCTTGACACTTGGCATTTATCTTATTTAGCCCATATACAACGACAAATTACCCTCCTTTCCCAGAGCAGAAATCAGGTTCAGAGAGGCTGAGTAACATATTGAGGTCACATAAGCCTCCAACCCAAGTCTCTCTGACACCAGAGTCCTTGCCTGCCCATGCCTGTAGAAAGCCCCGGAAGCTGTAGTTCTGTCTCTGAGTTCTCCAAGGAGCACATGATAGGGCACATCTGCTTACTGATGTACTTACCCCAGGGTCCCAACACCAACTGGAGGAGGTCATCCTACCCATGGGGGACAAGCAGAGCGAAACTAGCACCTCCCCTTCCCCTGCTTTCATTCTACTTCCCGCTGGCCTTTGGAAGATGCAGCCTGGGCAGGACTTCCTCTTGCCAGATGCATTCCCCTGGCAGTTTCAGTTCTCTCTCTTGCTGAGAACTGCTCTGAACCAAGTTATACAGAAGCCATGAAAACATTCCTGCTGCCAGCCCACTCTCTCATGCCAGGGAGTATGGACATAAACCTCCTCTTACCATTGCAGGAAACAGTGGGGAGGAGGTGTCCCATCCCCAAAGGTGGGCAAGTAAGATCAGAGAAGGAGAGGACTAACCTGAGGTCACACACGTGGCGGGAGCAAAGCTCTTCGCCAGGCTTCTGCCTATGGCCCACTGCCCTACTGTCCTGATGGGCAGGAGTACCTGAGTATTACTGAGACTGGAAGGTAATCAGGAGGCCCTTTCCCATGGTCCAGAGAACCACCCAGGCAGTCTGGGCTTGGGAGACCGATGGGCAAAGAAAAAAGGCTGTAGAACATGGCCCACCACCTTCCACTCTGTAGGCTTAGCCCCAAGTGCATTTACAGCCCTTGAAGCTCTTCAAAGTGGCCATATGAGTTTCTGTTTATCCATCCATCAATCCATTCATCTTTCCATCAAAGAAGTACAGCCGTCTCTACTGAGAGGGGGGTGATACTGGCAAGATCCTGGGCTCTAGCTTGCTACCCAGACTGCACATGGCTCCCTCACAAGTCAAGCAGCATTCCTGGAATGCTGTGATTAGAGCCACTTCCTGGAGGGAGAATGCCATGGACAAAGACAGAGCTCAGGGTCATGCTTCCACAAGCCAAAGAAGGCCAGAAATTTCCAGCAGACCACCAGAAGCTGTGGGAGGCCTGGAGCAGATTCTCACACAGCCCTGTGGAGGAAACACCTCCAACAAGTCCAAACAAGCTTAGGCTTCTAGCCGCCAGGACCGCCAGACAATTCATTTCTGTTGGTTAAGCCACCCAACTTGTGGGACGTTGTTATGACAGCCCCAAGAAGCCAATACGCCAGTTGGTAAGTCTCTACAGACACAATTCCATATTCTGACCTCTGTTACCATGGGCTAGTGTTGCCTGTTCTTGTGCCTCATAGAAATGGAATCATCCATCTGTGTCATTTGTGCCTGGCTTCTCTTGCGCTGCATATGGGTTTGAACTTCATCTACATAGTTCATGCATCATTAGTTCATTATCTATTTATTGCTGTGTAGCATTTCAATGTACACGTTATACAATTTGTTTATTATTTTCCCTGTTAATGGGCATTGGTGCTGTTTCCAGCTTTTGGTTAATGCTTGGTTTGCTCCAAGGGCAGATACAGTTCCCATCTCTGGGGAGCTGGTTCCCTGGGAGACCCTTGGTGTTGGTGTAGCACTGGCTGGGGCAGGCAGATGCAGGTCACTGTTTTCAGAGTTCTCTGTTTTTCCTTCTTAGTTACTAAGCAACCAGAATAGAGGAAGCAGGCTAGGATCCCAGAATAGCTCCCAGAGGGACCTAAATTCAATTGTCCCCTGGGGTGTGTCCTGCCGAGACCTCTGGGACCTCAAGAGTCACCTATGAGCAATGAGTAAGCAGTGGGCCTGGGGCAGTGAGGCAGGGCAGGGAGGCACCTGCTGGTTGATGGGGGCGGTCTGGCCTGCACTACACCCCTATATGCCCTCCTAGAGACCCCAGGATAGGGTTTGATGAAAGAAAGAAAAAGGATTATGCTGCCAGCTCATTCTGGGACCTTGGGCCAGACACTGTCCCTCTGAGGGCCTTAGTTACCTCCTGCAAGAGATGCCACCCTGGATGAGTGGCTGTTTTGTCCCTTGCCGAGGCCCGGCCATTTTTTGAGATCTCAGGGGGTTGCCATATTGCCCACAGGTCCCTCAAGACAACCCAGCCCAGACGTAGTTCTCTCTTCACAATCTCCCACATGCAGTGGGGCCCCCTCCACTGACCCTCTGTCCAAAGAGGCTCCTCTTTCTAACAAGCCTAGAGTGCTTTCTCCCACCTACTCACAGGTGAGAAGAGGGACATGGCCAATACCCTGGACACAGCTCCCAGGGTCCCATAGAAACGGGCCAATCTGAAACCCAGGAGGGAGCCCATCTACTACAGGCATCTAGCCAAGGGCCCACACTGGAGTTTCTCAACTTCTCAGCCATGGATTGAACTTCTGCAATAGGAAGTCACACTTCTATTTTCTGTCCTAAAATGAAAAAGAAAGAAAACAAAAAAAAAGCTGATGAGCATTCTGACACATCCCAACCGCAGCCGTAAATGTCATCCTTACAAGTGCCCCGCCAGGACTCACTTCCTCCCGAAAGCTCACAGCAAAAGTGCCAGAGCCAGATGTGCCCTTGGAGGTAAGGTAGGTGGAAGGCAGAGGGATTTGAACCCACAGTGAGGGGAGGAGGCCTCGTGGGGCTGAAGCAGGGCCCTGTAGTTTCTTATCTGGCACACACCCCAGAGTGTGTTCCTCCAGTGGTGTTCCGGAGGTGGCATGGGCTGGGCGGGGCTTCTGCTTCCTCAGAACATCTTAAGGTCCTGGAGATTTTCTGTCAGCTCTCTGGAATGCTCAGAGAATATGTCACAGGAGCAGTGGTGAAGTCCTCTTTCTAAGGGATTCTCTTAGGGTCCCTGAGCCATGGGTTTGGTTCCTACAAGTGAACTCTGAGTTCTGGGTAAGTCTGATGACTTGGCTGCCAAACCTGGCTGTCCTGGACCCGGCTTACAACAACACACCCCTCAGGAGGAGGCTTTCAGCAGGTTGGGGCCAGAGGGGGATGTGGGTGGAAGCATGTATTTGTGTAAACATGTGTGTTAGAAAGAAGAGAGTATCTTGAGGGGTTTAACCAGGTGGACCCCTCAAGAGACTGGAAGATCCTCGCCATTAGCCAGGTCCGTCCAGTAGGCAGGAGGGACACTGAGCCTCCCCCACACATGACAGGCTCCCTGTCTCACAGCCTTTAACAACCAGAGTCCAGTTGGGGTTTATCTGACCTTGATTTCATGTGCTTTCCATGTGTGTGGACTTCTCCTCATTTAGACATTTGGCAAATGTGCCTCCAGATACTTGCTGTGGTCAGGCCCTGTCTGCCCTGAGCAGTGTGGCTGCTCAGACCACACCCTGCCCTGAGGAGGCCTCGGGGAGACAGGCAGAGAGGAGCTCCAGCAGGACAGACAAGGGCCCACAGAACTCTGACATGGGGGCCGGCCAGGTGCCTCAGGTGCAGGGAATCTTCCTGTATGGGGGTCCGAGGGCAGAAAGAGGAAAAGAGTGTTCTAGAAGAGGTCACATTTGAACCGTAAAGAGCAGTGTCTGGATACAAACTGTATAAGCAAAAGCCTGGTGCCGGGAAAGTGTACAATCCTTTGTTCAAATCCCCTCGGCCCTGTCCAAGGTCGGTTTCTGTGGAAGGTGGGACAGGTCCCAGGCCACATGGGATTGGTGGCTGCGGTAGAATCTGTGTTCCTCAAATCCATGCAGGAGCAAAGCTGACCGCGGTAAGCAGTCTCCCCACGTATGCCGATGAGATTCTAAAGGACACGTCACCAGAGATGGAGCTGCCGGCACCGACCGTGTGAGCCTTCCGCACTGTGGCAGATACTGCCGGGGCACTCCACGAGCCCTATCCGTTCTTGAGCAAGAGACCTTCCTTCCTCCTCAGGATCTGCCTTCTGCCCCAGACAGTGAGGGTGGGATATCCACGGTGCTCAGGCCCATAAGCACCAGGCTTCCCATGGGAACGTGCTAGCTGTTTTTGTTCCTCCTTCGGGTCACCAGGCAGGTTTCTGATCTCCCCAGAGCAGTCAGGTTCCCCTCTTCTGTGCCTCTCCATCTGCCTAATTCTAGAAGCTCCTGCCTCTCCCATCCACTGGGCGCTTGGGAAAGCAAGGGCTTGTTCTATTACACCTGCTTAACCCCAGAGGAGGGCTCGGCCAGCGCTCGCCATGTGACTGTCAGAAATGAGAAGGGAGCATTCTGTCTGTCTGTCCTTCCCTTTCCACGTAGCAGGCCAAACGGTCCTCAACTACAACAGGTCACCAGGACCCTACCCAGCATCCTAGAATGCCTTATACCTGGCATAAGCAAGGTCAGACATACCCATGTTACAGAAAAGAAAATGAAAATTCAGAGTGCGGGTGGCAGGCTCCCCTCCCAGGGGCCAGAGAAAAAGAAGCTGGGGCTAGAACCCATGGGCCCTGGTTCCCTCCTGGCTTGGCCAGAATAACAGCATCCACGGCCAGTGCTTGGCTCTGTTTGGCTGAAGGTGGTCCGGGGGTCCCTGAGGTGGGCAAGCATGTCTGGGCCCAGGGAGCCCTAAGTGGGTCTGTGTTCCCTCCTCCCCAGGCTCCCGCCCATGGAAAGACCCCTCACCGTCCTGCGGATGAGCCTGTATCACCCCACCCAGGGCTCTGCCGTCTTTGCCACTGTCCCCCAGAGGCTACAGCATGACACCAGCCCACTTCTGGTGGGGCGGGGCCTGGGCTCCCACCTCCAGCTGCACCTCCCCGGCCTGTCCCGCCAGCACCTGTCCCTGGAGCCCTACCGGGAGCAGGGCGGCGCTCTGCTGGCCTTCAGCCTCAAGGCCCTGAGTCGCAGGGGCTGCGTGTGGGTCAACGGGCTGGCGCTGAGGTTCCTGGAGCAGGTCCCCCTGGGCACCGTCAACAGAGTCATCTTCGCGGGCATCCAGATGGTGGTCCACGTAGAGGGAGGCACCTCCCTGGAGGCCTTTGTCTGCTGCTTCCACGTCAGCCCCTCACCCCTGATCTGCAGGCCCCAGGCGGAGGAGACTGATGAATGGGAAGACATCCCCGAGGAGCCACCTGCCCCGGGTTCAGAGCAACCGGTTCCAGGCCACGTTGGCTTTCCCCATGGCCCCTCCCAGGCTGTGGACAGCTCCCCCGAGCCACGCCCCGGAGGAGGAACAGAAATACAGCTCCAGAGGGAGGCCGCGGACAGCGGAGGTGGCGCGCCCTGCTCGCCCCACGGCCACCGGGAGCACTCCATGGCTGAAACAGGACTTGAACTATCCTAACTACATCATGTTACGTTGACAAGCGAGGCCTGCCTGGCTAATAATGAATCAATTCTGCAAACATGAACAGCCTGGGGCGGGGAGGGAGGGACGTGCCCTCCCCGTCTCCCAACTCTTCAAAGCAATGGGAACTTCATATCCTTTTAGAGGCCCCACGGGGCCGGGGCAGCCCCTCGCAGCAGAGCTCCCCCACATTTCACGGTCTTGTCTGACTAGGAGTTACTTTATGTTGCTAATTTTGTGTGCCGCTTAAGAGCAGGAGTTTGAGGTTGCGGCAGGAATGCGTGGACACATGTAACAATTACGTCTGTGGTAGCTGGGGGTTACCTTCGGCTTTCAAATACCCACAGGCCCTGGGGGCTTAGGGAAGCCTGTGTTTAATAAACTGCAAGTATTTCATTAAACTGGCATACCCAATAGGATTCCCGGGTCCCCACATGGGCTGCAGGCATGCCTCGCTGTCACGCAGAGGCAGGGCGGGACTGAAGAAGAGGTGTAAGCGGAAATTGGAAAGGTGGGGGCTCAGGTTTCTGAAAAGAATGCAAGCAGAGCTCAGGGCTTCCTGGGCGTGGGGAGCCGGGCCTGGGCCTGCCTGAGCTTCCCTGTCCCCAACTCCCTCCTTCTCCTCACACTCCCTGGCTCTCAGTTATTTCTGGATCAAAGCCTCGGCTGACTAGAGGGCACAGGTCTTCAGCAAAAGGTGGCTTCCCTGAGAACTGGGCTCATGAGAGTGTGGCGGGGGTTGTGTTAGAATTCAACCCAGCAGTGATTTCACTCAGGGCAGGTCTTTTCAAATAAGGGGCCAGTGGGGTCAGGCAGGCCCTGGGAGGAATAGTTTTCTCAGTGAACAGATGAGCAGAGCAGCAGTGTCTGTGAGCGAGGCCCTGCGTCCCCCCCGAGCCTCGTGTCAAGAGGGACACAAAAGGCAGGGAGTGCCGTGAGGATGTGATGGCAGATGCATCAGAGAGCACTGTGCTGGCCATGGCCTAGAGCAGTGGTCGGCAAACTCATTAGTCAACAGAGCCAAAGATCAACAGTACAACGATGGACATTTCTTTTGAGAGCCAAATTTTGAAAACTTAAACTTCTTCTAACGCCACTTCCTCAAAATAGACTCGCCCAGGCTGTGGTATTTTGTGGAGGAGCCACACTCAAGGAACCAAAGAGCCCCATGTGGCCCGAGAGCCACAGTTTGCCGACCACGGGGCTAGAGCAAAGGCCGCGGCTGAGCATGGGCAGTCCCATGTGGGACATTGGCACACTGCGCCCACAGTTTCTGTCTGTTTCTTGTGAGACCTCACACTCCATGCAGATAGGACCGCGGATTGCTCACTGTTATGTTCCCGGTGCCCACCTTGGAGCTGGGCGGAGGATAGACAGACAGGCATAGTGGTCAGGGAAGCAGTCACCTTGGCTGTGCTAAGGCAACTGCCAGGTTTCCCAGGGCAGGTGAGGGAGGGTAGGGCAAGAAGCAGGTTGGACAGCTGGGGCAAAAAAGGGCAAGAAGCCGCAGGCAGGCAGTAGAGGTCCACTTGCGCTGGGCCTCAGGGCGGCAGCCCAGGCTCTCAGGCTGGCTCTGAACGAGGCTGGTGCTTCCGCCTCATTCTTGAGACTCTGCAGCCCAAACCCACTCAGAACTCTGCATGTTTGGTCTTCTGTGCGGTGACGCCTGAGAAAGGTTGACGGATCTGACAGTGCCCCATGTTACCAAGAGAGCTGTCAGCCAGCGCTTCCTGCCCCGAACAGAGGCACAGAGGTGGCAGGCACCTCCGGGAGACCTGGGAGGGCTGCGAGCAACAGCAGTCAGGATGGCTGGACTGGGCCTTGGCCTGTGGCTCACCAAGTCTCCCCCAGCCCTCACCTCTACCCAGTGCAGTAGAGGCCAACCCACGCAACCCTCTTCCCCCCCACGAACACACACCAGGAACACCCTCCCTGTACCAACACTCCACCCCACAGACCAGAGCTGTCTCTTTAAGAGATACCATGTGGGTAGGGAGCTAAGATGTTGCCTTGCTGGAGGCATCTGCATTTTTTTTTTTTTTTTTTAAGACAGGACTGGAGAAGGTAATGCTGGCCAGGATTACCTGTAGAGAGAGGGGCCCTTAAAGTCCCACAGTAGGCAAACATTTCCCCTTCCCCTCAAATGGATGGTCCCCTCATACATGTATAAAGCAAGATGTAATCCAGGGGCTGGCTCAGCGTCTCCTTGTGACTAAGACATAGAGCCAACACGGAACCACAAACTAAGTTTCTCTACAGCAGCCCACTGAGCAGCCAGGCTGCAGGCAGCAGAGAGATGTGCAGAAGCAAGTAAGTCCCGGTCCCTGTGGAAGTTCTCACCTCCTGCATCACTTCCCTCTCCCCCACCCTGCGCTGCAGGTTGTTGGGAGACCTGCCTGCCACCGCATCTACTGTGTGCGCCCTGTTCTCCAGCTCCGCTCTGTGCCCTCTTCCTCCACGGCCCCCTGACCATGGTATCTGGTGGTGCTGATGTTGCTGTCAGGTTAGCTGGTTCCCAAAGAGCCACACAGGACCCTTGAGCTTCTCTTCTCCGTGGCAGCTCTGCCTGCATTCCCGTGCTCCGGACACTCAGCACCACGCCAGGCCCCCATCGCCCGTGCCAGGCTTCAGGGCGAGAGTAAACCAACCCAGCTCCTCCTCCACCTGGGTGATGCTGCAGTTAATAAACTTTGTTCGCCTTGCAGGGCTGTGAGCCCTCTTACCTTGAACGTGAACTCACAGGCGGATTAAAGTGAAATAAAACTTACCATTTGAGTCACATTCTCAGATGATTGGAAACATGCATTACCTCCCCATGACCGGGCTGTGAGAAGGGAAGTTATTATCTTTCTTCAGAGTTTGTAAACTCTTTATGGCTGAGGCAGCTTTAATCCTGCTGAAGGGGGAAAAAAAATGATCTGGGAATAAATTGCCCTCATTTACCTTTGTTTTCCAATCACATGCTTCAATGGGAACGAAACATCCTAAGTGAGGGGATGTGGGAAGCAAGGTGATCCCAGACAGAAGAGTTTAATTATTTTTCTCTTCAGGCACACGAGTTGAAAGTGCTTTCCAGTGCCGTTTGGCATGGGGCTCGCTCCACAAAAATGTGCACTCCTGCGCGCTGCCAGTCCTCTCAGCTCTTAGTCTTCTCTGCCTCTTTTCCCCTCAGCACCCCCTTTTTTGGGGGGTTGGGGAGACCAGAAGGGGGGATTGCACCTACGATGCCCAGCTCCAGGCGTTTGGAATGGCCAGGAAGGAGTCTGAGAAAGGACAGATGTGAATGAAAATGAAATCACAGCCCTGGAAGGAAGAAGAGACCTTGGGGTTTGTGTTTCTGGAGGGGTTTTCTTTCCTCCTTTGTTATTTCTGTTCCCCAACCCAGAGCTTACATAGAGCAGATCCCAAGCAAAGCCACCAGGTCGCCCGTTTGAACTGCTGGAAGGAGCCCAGCTGAGACGTCCGCCTGCTTTCCTTTAAAGGTGCAGAGGCAGGGGCCGGGGTGGGGGATCCTCAGAAGAAAGCAGAGACTGGGGCCTTTGGAGAGAGAGCTCCGTCAGGCAGCCAGCCCTGGGTTTTCATAATTGCATCTCCAATAACATTCTTCCAGTCACCTGCCGTTTGCTGGGCTAAGAAAATGGACCCTATTTGGTCACCTTGCTTGGGGGGTAGGGAAAGTATAAGGCTGGGAGTGTACCAGTCGGGAAAACAAAAATCACTCTAAGTATTTCAAAAGTTTAATTCAGGGCATTGGGTACACAGGTGATGGTGTCACTCAGAAGCCACACAAACAGTGCAGTTCAGAGATCAGCCAGAACAGGAAGTTGTTGCCCTTGCCCATTCCTACCCCTGGGGCTGCAGGGGCAATTGAGAGAAAGGCGGTGGCCCTCGGAGGCAGAGGCCGTCCAGGGGGAGCTGGTGCAGCTTCTGCCAGAGGCTTTCCGAGGAGAAAGGAGAGAGAGAGAGAGAGAGAGAGAGAGAGAGAGAGAAGAGAGAGAGAGAGAGAGAGAGAGAGGGAGAGAGGAAGAGAGAGAGTGAGAGAGAGACCCTGGTCTCTCCCCTGCCCCACACTCCAGTGGGCTCCTATGGCTGAGCAAGCCAGAAGGCAGCTAACAAACAGCCTAAGCAATGCAGCCTGGAGGTGGGCTCCCCTGCAGTCCAGAGCAGAGGAGGGAAGGCAGAATGATGGATCTGAGGGTGAACAGTCAAAGTCAGCAGAGGGAGTAGCCTCATTTCAGTCCCCCACCTGGGGTTCTGGGGTGGCCACCCAACATGGAGAGGGGCACAGCCTAGAGGACTCCACAGCCCTGAGGCCTCCCGAAGGAATAGGCCAACACAGATTTTCCCTCCACCAAGGACATCCCAACCCATGTGACCTTTGGTGCCCCTTAGAAGGACAAGTGCCATGCAGTGAGGTACGGAGGCCTAACTCACACAACCCCTCCCACTGGGGAACCCGCTTTGAAAGCCCCTCCCCTCACTTCAGAGATGGAGCAGCAGAGCAGGACCTATATCCCCTCTGCTCTCAACTCACTGACTCAGGAACGGCCTTCATCTCCTGAGCCCCTGCTCCCTGCGTATTAAATGGGGACCCTACTCATTCCCACCTCGCCTCTCGAAGACTGAAACACACCTTGCAAGAAGGAACTCCATGCATGTATCTTGGAAATGCTCAATAAATACCAGCCATTCACCTTAACAACCAGCCAGCCCCAAATGTTCCTCCCTCCAGGATGCTTCCCTGACTTTTTCCACGAAGGAGTCGCTCCCTCTTAGCTCCAAGCCAGTGTTGGGATACTCAGGGATTTCCGGCCAGTGATTCATGGGACAAAAGTTTCCCTTGGCTGGGAAGTTGTGTTCTTGCTGTGTGCTCTGCGCCATGCGGGAAGGAGCCCAGCTGAGACAGGAGCAGCGCCCCTGCAAAGAAGAAACTGTCGACGACTTGGATGGAGCAGCCACCTGGCACCCAGTAGGTCCTCAGTAAGGGTCTATGACTG